GCTGGCAGCAGCCCCCAGAGCTCAGGGCTGGCAGCAGGAAAGGGACCCCCAATCACATCCTTGGTGGGCCCTGCTCTGTGCACAGAGGTTTTGCACCTTTGCTCTCCCCAACCCCCCCCACAGGAAAGAAATAATTGCTTAGAGAAGCACAAAACACACCACCAGCAGCTTCTGTGAAGGTTCCTGGACCCCAGAGCCCCAAGACCTGAGAAACTGTGGAGTGAGGCAAGTCCTGTCCCAAACAGGTAAATGTGGCCCAGGGCCCTGCACTCCTTAGGGCTGTGCAGAGCAGAGAGCACCACTTGCTCACTTGCTCCTTCCCTCCCTTCACAAAGGCTTTCACAGCCCTTGAGCTGCAAATCCTCAGCAATTAGAGGGCAGCCAGAGCTGGCACTAAACTGAGACACAGGATCGTGTTCTGCAGCCAGAGGGTCAGGTGGCCCAGGAGTGCAGCCTGGAGGGAAGAGACCAGAGTCCAAGCAGAGGTGGAAAAAAGAGAGGAATCATCTTTATTTGTGAAGTGTTAACAGATGGAACAGTTCAATGCTACCCAGCAGTAAAGGTGTTAGACTCTCCTGAGCACTCATCTTCTTGCAGGCCCCATGTCACACGAGCAGTGCTGGCTCCAGCACAAGCACAGCCTGTTAAACCTGAAACTGCCCCAGCCCCTGCAGAGACACAAACCACCCCGGAATAAGTTACAGCAGTCGCTGACCCAGCGCCTGGCCCCGACAGCCCCTGGATGCTGCTCCAGGGCAACAAGCAACAGCTTAGGAGGAGCTGCCAGGGAACCTGCCTGACAGGGACACACCAGGAATGAGCCCTTGGCCAGGGAAAGGTGCAGCCTTGATCCAGGTGATGCACTGGGAAAGACAGAACTCCCTCCCTGCTCCCTCTGGTCAGATCCTCCCTCTGCCATCTCCAGACAGCCACCAAGGCAGCTCCTCCCTCACCCCAGGCAGGTGGGACACACACAATGTACTTCACAGAGGTGAGGAAGAATTAAGCTGCACTCCCACCCCCTCACTCTGTACCAATCCCAAGAAACCTAGCACAGAGACAGCCAGTGACCTAGACTACCAGGGACAAGGGATTTACATTTACAGGTAGAAAAACCCTCCCACAACTCTTTTAAAAAAATGTATTTTAGATTCTACAACTTAAGTTTCTTTAGAAAGTGAAGTAACTGAATTGCAAGGACGCACTAGAATATTCCATGGTGCTATTTTACCAAAATTAAAAGAAAATAAAATTGTCCAGACGAGTTCTTCATCTACACATCACCTGGCAGGAGAGGAAAAAAAAAAAAAGCCAGTTAGATAACCAGTCACACCAGTATGGCTGCACTGTGCTAGAGGGGCTGGTGGAGCCCGCACTGGGCCAAGAAGAGCCTCTGGACAAACACAAGTTTGTCCAGAGGCTCTGCAGACACTGCAGCTCTGCCCTCGGGCCTGGCACTCACCTGGCCCTGCTCTCAGTTTGCGTTTCGCTGGCGAACGTTCTTGTCCTTGTGGTTTGTGGCATTGCTCTTCCTGGGAAGGGAGAAGGGGCATGAGGAAAGAGAGAGCAGAAAGCACCTCCCACCCACTAATGTCACTGGGGTCCAAACAGACAGTGAGATCAGGCAGGAGGTCAGTTCCCAGTGTCAGATACTGGTGCCACCCCAGGTACGCGTGATTTACACACAGGGACATCTCCCCCCCAAGGCACAGCGAGTGTCATCTCACTCCAGCCTGCTTTTATCCTCAGAGCAGACTCCCTGGGCTGGATGAGACCTGCCAGTACAAATCTGGATGAATAGGAAGAGACAAGGAACTCACAGTGGTGCAGAGCCTCCATCGTCATCTTCACATTCAGGACAGCACAGAGAGAAAGGAAGAACAAAGTGTCAGGGAAGAGCATGTACTACTGCGTGATCTGTCTCCTCTAAAGCAGCGAGGACTGTGCTCCAGGCAGCCCTCCCACCACACCAAAAACTGGGAAGGAGCCATAGCTGCACTGGTGAGATGCCCCAAACCTCCCACTGCACCTGCCCCATGGCCTGGGATGGCTCCTGGACCAGAGCACACACACAGCAGGAGGAGGGGAAGCCAAACAGGATGTTCTGGGAAAGGGCTTTAAGCAGCAGCAGGAAGCCCTTTTTTCCCCTCCCCACATGTTGTGATACCTAAACAAACACTGCACACCACGTTCTGGCTATGCTGAGCAGCACAGCTAAGGAAACACCTCTACCAACACGTGCCAAGCCCTGCAGCCTTTCACCAGCAGCTTGTGATCTGCCACCTCCCCACAGGAGGCTCCCAATCGTCTCCTCTGCCCTCACTGCCTCTTCCACAGCCCCATGCTCCAGGCACTGGGCTGCCCTGGGCACCAGCATCTGCTCACAGCTGGTGAGAGGATGGAGGCAGACACAGCTGAACTGCCTTCTACTTACCATGTGAGGTGGCACCCAGCAGCAGAGAAGGCAAGAGTGGACAGGTAACACCAGCAAGGACATCGCACCAAACACAGACCAGACTGCCCCCACCCCATCCCAGGTGACAGGAGCGGACAATTCACAGCCAGTACTGGGAGGAACTGGCTCAGAGAGAGCCACTTTACACCAGGGAAGTGCAAAACCATGGGTGTTAATCAAAGGGCTGCCATGCTGTGTCCTCACCCAAGAGCACTTGGGAACTTGAGCTCCTCTGGCCAAGGAGCACCAGGAATTTTTGGCGTGCACACACACACCCCCCCCCTCTGTTTGTCCAAGCACATCCTGCAGGTCTGGACAGGACTGATGCCATCACAAGCCAGTCCAGACCACACACAGGCCATAGTGGTTTTTCTGAGATACGCAGCTACAACATCTCTCTTAAGACACCTGCCTTCCAGCCAGGAGTGCCAGAGGGCAAAACAGCTGCTAGTGAACCTGCCTTCAGTGGAATTCACCAGCTCCGCAGTCAAGGGAGGGATGTTGGGCTGCAGCCCCTCTGCTGCAGCCCCGTAGGGGGCCGAGGGGCCCGGCAGGATCCCGGGCAGGAAGGACACGGAGCGTTCACACTGCATTGTTAATGGGATCAGATAAGGGAGGCCCCGGGCTGACACAATGCAGATCCTCTGCGATAAGGAAAGGGAGGAGCTGGTGCTTCCAGAACAGATTAAAGATAGTGCCGGGCTTTGAGCTGCAGGATGTGTGGAGCTGATGACCCAAAACATCCTGAAGTGAACACAAGTCAAGCTAAGCTTGGTCTTACAGAGCCCCAGTTTAGCAGCACCACAAAAGCTCTATTGCTTATTTACAAACCACCTTCTCCAGAGTGGGAGCTGCCAAAGCAAACCCAGCCCTGCAGACACCCACGGGAAGCACTCGAACAAAGAGCTGAGAAAGAGGGTCAGGCTAACCTGCACCGAATGCTCTCTGGCTCCAGATCTCACTGCAGGACTGTCAGGAACAATTCTGTGCAGCTTCATGGCTGAAGTGGCCTGGCACACACTGCCAGGGTTTCCCAGGTGTCCTGAGCCCTCAGACCAACCCCCTCTGCCAAAGGCACCTCGGAGCTCCCTTCCAGCCCACCCTGCTGCACCCTACAGGTTCCTCTCCCCAGAAAAATTTAAACCCAGCACCTCTTACCATCAAGAACCTCATCTGGCTTCCTCCTCTTCTCATAGATGAAGATGATGGTGACCAGCACGAGCACTTCTGCCACAATGCCCAGGAAGGGCCAGAGAGCCGCGAGGCGGCTGCGCACGCGCAGGTTCACCGTGGCGTCCCCGGAGCCGTACGAGTTGGTGGCATTGCAGTGGTAGTCACCCGTGTCCTCCTGGATGTTCAGTTTGAGGATCCGCAGCTCTGTCTTGCTGCCGTTGGACTTGATGATGTATCGCCCAGAGGCGTTGATGATGGGCTGGAGAGGGAGGAGGAGGAGGGACAGAGCTCTCAGGGCAGCACTGACTGACCACACAGGGCCCAACCACCACGGAAATCCTCCTCCCCATGGCACTGAGCTCTGAAACAGCCAGTTCTCATGGCACCAGGTACCCACCTCTGCTGGGCAGCAGGGGAGAAGGAGCAAACCACAGCACTTACCTCCTGACCATTTTTGTACCAGGTCCAAGAGCTGACAGGGGGGAAGGAAGGATTCTTGCAGATCAGCACACCTGTGTCCCCCTCATTCCCATGCTCAGACTTCTTGTATGCTGTCACCTGAGGGGCAACTACAGCAAGAGAACAAGAAATTCAGACATTTCATCACAGAAATCACAGAGATTTGTACTCCTGCAGCCCACCCCACCAGAATCGGGCAGTTACCCCAGAGCCTGTCCTCAGTCAGGTTGTTACCCTCACTAGTTTGGCATTTTCAGACAGGAAAACACATCAAGCTGCTTCACGAAAGGCTCATACAGATTTGCCCACCAGGTATGACCCCTCTCCCATTCTTCCTGTGGGAACATGCCCACAGAAGGTTGGTTTAATGCAGGATGTACAAGCCAACCCTACAGACACTGAGCCACCTGATAACACGGTGCTGCCTCACGGGGAGAGTGGGCAGCACCAGCTCAGAGCCCTGCAGCCAGGCAGGGGCTGGGAGCAGCTTTCCAAGAGGCCAAGAAGACACCACAGCACAGTGTTCAGAAGATCACAGCCTCCCCACACCTCTCCTCAGACCCAGAAGCAAATGTATGAAGTTACCAGAAATATTCACTTGTCCTTTTATCACAGGGTTTGTTTCGTAGACACACTCGTAGATGCCAGAGTGCTCCTCCATCTTCCCCTCGATCCTACCAGAAACAGGATTCAGGTAAGCACCACTGACCCACCCACAGACAGACACTGAGTTAATGTCCACCCATGGACTCAGACTCCCATAATGATCAGCAGCCTCTCCAGAGTGAATTTCTCCCCTTCCAGCAGAGCATTTATGCTGTGCCATGTACCCACAGCAACCCAACCCTCCACACCGAGGGTGGCAGGAGAGGTTTCATGTGTACCATGTCTCACACGGGTCTGTCAAGTCAGGGATCATTATTCCAGCCCACTGAAACACAACAGGGCAAAGCAGTGGCAAAGAACACCCAGGCTGGGCTACTCTGCACTGATCCCAGCGTAGGGAACTCTCCCCTTCTCCTTCCTGTAAAGCTGCTGCAATGAGATTTAGTGGATTAGGCAGCCCCGCAACAAACATCCCATTCTGCCACTGACTAATGCCCACTGGAGGGAAGGGGCCTGCAGAGTCTGTCCCGTGCCTGAGCCAGGACAAGGGGCTGTTTGTTAGCTCTGCTGTGCACGGCACTTCCCACTTCCAAAAACCACTCAGCTGAGGAATTGAGGTCACGCGAGGGAGGCTGGGTTATAAATACTTTAATCCTTGTTCAGCTCCCTGTTGCTATGGGGAGACAGGCACGTCGGCACTGCCATACAAAGGGACATGATGCCTCTACAGCTGCTGGGTCAGTGCCAGCCAGGCCTGACTGTAATGGGAAGGGAAAGCTCACTGCACTGCCACAATGAGGCCAGTATTCCGCAGCTCCCAGCTCGCTCTGCCAGCATGGGAGACTGTGCAAAGGGACACAGAGCCCCAGGGAGGGACAAATCCACGGGAGCCTCTTGCTCCACACACAGGGCAGGGGTCCCCCAAAGCTCTGGGGGAGCAGCTCTGGCACACTGATGTCAGCACAGCCCCAGTACACTGCACCTGGCAGACCAGAGCACACTGAACAGCTCCTTCACAACAGCAGAGCTTCCCTTTCTAAGAGTGTATCCCTGGCCTAAACCTGCCCCCTCCTCCCCATAAAGGAGTGTTGGGCTTTACCACAAGTCTGTTTAGCTCACATTAGGCCCCTCAGGTCAGCAGGGCTGAGCACTCAGCACTCCAGCTGATAGCAAGCACCAACTGCCTGTGGGTAAGAACCTGCCCTGACACTCACGTGTAGCTGGTGAAAGCACTTGTCTCCGTGTCCTTCTGCACTGCCTTGTCCTTGTGGATCCACTCGTGTCCCCCGATGGCAGGGTATGGTGCAGACATGTTACAGGTGAGGACCAGCTTGCCAGAAACCTCAGCAACATGAGTCTTGATGTCTGGACCTGCACACACAAAGAATTGCATTTCAGTTAGCACAGGGCATTGCAGAGCTGACACACCACCCGACGACCTGCAATGCAAACCCACAGCTCCTTGTCTCTATCCCACCTTCCACTTACCTTCACACACAGGTCCCTACCAGACTTGATGGTGCCAGCACCAGAGAGCCCCAAACACCAGGTGACCTGGCCTGAGTGCCCCTGGGACAGCGATGCTGCCCCCACGAGCAGGATCCCTGCCCTGCATCCCTCAGAGCCTGTGACCCCACCACGGGTGCAGCCCTGGCAGAGCCCAGTGCTCAATAAGCAATGGAAAAGGTCACTCTGAAGGGCAGAGCACAGCTCTCTGCTGCTGTCAGCCACCACAGCACTCGTGTGTCAACGCCTCCCAGCACCTGAGCAGCTTCAGACACCTCCAGGTGACAGAGAGGGCAGCCAGGACCCTCAGATGCGATGGGCAGCAGACAAGAAGTGTGGCAGCAATGTGAAGCAGCCCAAGGGTTTGGTTAGAATTGCTCCAGGGAGAACACAGAGCCTGACTCCGAGAGGTCCTGGGCCTCCTGTGCCCGGCAGCAGTAAATTATGCAACATAAGATGACTCAGGCATTTCCAAGGAGGCAGCTGCCACCAGCAGCACCACTGCACAGCCTCATGGCACTATGGGCCCTGCCCTTCCACCCAACCTCCACCTCTTGGAAGGAACAGCTTTTGCCAGAGCTGACAGGCATTTTGCTTTTCCTCCTACCCAAATTCCACTGGAAGAAGGTTGTGCTGGAGTTGTGTATTCCCTAGCACACTCCAGCTGAGAAGGCAGCCGTGCTGCTCTCCTAACTCCAGGATTCACGGGAAGACCTTATCAGGACACTGCTCTCCCTCCCAGGTTCCTAGAGGCAGAACATGAACTCCGGCGTTCACCTGCCACCCGGCCACGTCCACAGGACAACATCACACTCAGTGTCACACCGACACGGCCTTTTCAAAAACGGTTGCACCTCAGAGCTCAAAGCAGGTTTTGCTCCCCATGGCCTGGGTCAGCGGCACGGGAGCTCAAAGCAGGAGAGCTGGGGAGGGGGACAGGGAGGGGCCGCTGGTCAGTGGTGTTAGGGCAGAGTCGACCACAGAATCTGGGCTCAATTCTGCAGCCAGCACTGGG